GAACAGCAACAACAGCACACTCACACACGCATGAGCTTCACACTGTTTTGCCTACTTGTGTCTTACAGCTCGGCAGCCTGTGTCCCCCCACTTTCAGCCTCACCTCAGCCTCTCAGGGACCACCAGAGCCCCAACTGCACGCGATTGTCTTCATGCTATCAGACAGAGAGAGGGACTGTTCTCACTGTGACTGCTGTTTCCAGTTCACACTCATATCACACACAGCTCCTTCTGACTGCAGGTGCCTCAGAACCATTCAAAGTGTTCCTAGCTGTTCAGAGAAACAGAATCCCTGCTCTGCGTGTTGGCAGATAAACACATTAGTTATGTCAGTGTGTGTGATCAGCCTAATCTACTTTGTCTTTGTTTCATTTTCAAGTCAGCCAATGCAGATTTAAAAACAAATATTTCAAAGGACGTGGTAAAAAACTCACTTCTCAGTGCGTCTGCACATATGAAGTGCCTGTCAACCCACAAACTGAAACATGTGATTCAACAAGCTGTTCAGATGTGGTTCCACTTCCTATTTCATATTCCCCTCCCCCCCAGCTTGAAAACTACCGTTGCAATATTCTCTTGCAAGCCAATCAGAGCAGACTGGGGTTTCCAGATGGGGGCTTAAAGAGACAGGCTCTAATTTCAGAAAGGGGGGGGGGGTTAAAAACAGGTTTGTTCAAGCAGACGAGAAAAAATGTGTTTCTAAAGAATGTGAACATGTAACAGATACACCCAAAATGTACAAGTTTACAATTATGTGCTTCTTTAGACAGACCTCATTTAACACGTTCCATGTGCCGGCATAGAAAGAAGTGTAATGGGCAGGAAATGTCAGCATGGGGAGGACATATGTTGTTTGGGATGTAAAGTGTCCCTTAAAGTCAATATTGGTCTGCAATTGGTGGGATTGAAAATAACTTGGTAAACAATATTTGAGTCTGTTGCCAAACTATTGTTGCTTTCTGAAATGTTGACCTTAGAGTACACACTCTTTCTTGGAATTTCATTGTGTTTCTAGGAAACAACTTGGCTCTGACTTGAATTCCTGTCAGCTGTTAACATCAGCCGAGTTTGTGTTAGAAAGTGGAGCTCTGCACAGCTCTCTATGTGCTTTGGGTTTCTACTGCTTTGCATCTATTCCACACAAATGAGGTGGTACAGTCGGCCCACTTCCTACAAATCATCAACTTTCCTGCCAACTTGCTCATGGCATACCATAGTATTTGAGTGGATCAGTTCAAAGTGTTGTTCAGTGTGACTGCAGAGTTGTGATACTTGCTTGAGATTTGCCACATTAGATCATGGTGATAAGACGGTCAACTTCTCTTGTAGAGACAGTTGATGTACATACTCTAGGGAAATCAATGGAACATGTTGACTGCCTACATTCAGCAGTGTAAAAGCTGATGGTGAAGAATACAGAACATGCAAGCTAATATATGCAACATAGTCCTGTATGAATCATTGAACTACAGTCACTTATTAATGTGTGTGCCCTGATCCAGGATCTGCAGTTCCTGAAGCCCTATGACTGCTCAGTGCGGGGCCGCTGCACTGGGGCCTCCCATGTTCTGTCAAGAACCAGAGAGTAAAGGAGCATTCTGGTGTTTTTGCATGATTTGCCTTATTTACTATTTCACATGCACAAATATTTGCGTTATTTCAACTTCTTGCTGTTTTTCTTCATTGAGACATTTCTGTCGTCAGGCTATCTACCAAGGATTTATGTTTGTTGATATATACTTTATATATCAGATCATTTGCATCTATGTTTCAAATGTAATGCTCACTGATTTTGCCTGGTGGTAAATAACAACATTAACACCTACTAGCTGGTTTTGGAGATCGGCTGCCAGTCTCTATTATGTGTAGCTGAGTTCTACAAAGAGAGACATTTAGAATTTGAACTAATATTATATCAGTCATAAACGTTGTGGACTCACAGTGAGTCTGATTTAGTGTTTTTGCTGATGTTGGTGAGAGATGAACCAGAAAAGCGGAACACTTTCATTTGTAATATGCTTTCTTTGTGTTTTCATAAAGGCAGTGAAGTGTTGTGCTGAAGCTGCAGCTTGCCTGCAGCCACACATCTCCATCAGAGTTTCCCTCACAGGGCTCACTGTGTGGAGAAGCAGTAGACGGTCAAACATTTCACAGTCTGTGACATGGCTTTTGAATTGAACATGAGTTGTGTTTCTGCTTGTATTGTGGTGAAAGTGTGTGGAGAGTATTTAGTGTAATGATTGTGCTCAGGCTGTCAGGACTTTCTCGTTTCAAGTCAGAGGTGGATTTCATCAAACTGACAAACAAAATGTGTTTCGTTGTTGGAAGTTTCTGTCAGAATTAAACGTTTTTAAACACAACACAACCAATAAGTAATGATATACTGTATGCTTGTTATGCTGTTATGCTTCTGGGTTTAATTGTGGAAAAAAGGCAACCAAGAGTACAGAGTTGAGAGCACACATGCTACTTTTTGTAAAATAAGATGTGCATATTTTACATAGTTCTAATTTAATTCTATTGTATTTTGATTAAAATAAACTTGGTAGCCACTTCTTAAAGTGGACTGTATGGGTCCTTTCTGTCTGCATACCTCACTGTTTATACTTTGCATAGATAAGCTGTCTCGTGGCGGAGTGGGACAGCGAGTCCAGCAGGACATTTCTCAATCTATATGTTATGCTTTTTCCTTTAAATTATCAATTTAAATGAAATATTTGTACTTGCACAATGGCTTGACACAATGCCTAATTGTTAAAAGGTTGGTCTAACAGCAGCTGCAGAAATGACCTTCTCACACCTTGGGGGCCATCCCTGCAATGTGATTGGCATCCACATTAACTGAACTGTGATTGATTGGCCAAGTCAACCAGTAAGAAACTGTTAGATTCTTCAGTGTTATTGAGGTATAAATTAATAGTGGATGCAGAAATCCTGAATGCTGTTATCTGTCCCGCCTCTTTGCTCTCTACACAGACCTGCATTCAACCAAAGTCCGCTCCAACGACATAGGTCAATACCACACGGACAACGACGGAACCTAGAACCTTTCCATAACCAAATCTGTCCCAGTGCCTGTCGATAGAGATCAAATCAGCTGCAGTTAGTTAGCATGTCTGGCTAACTAGCTTTGTACTTATGGTATGTGCAGATGATCAGTGTGTATGGTAATGTTTGTGCTCACCTGCTCTTTATCAAATATGAATACATTTACACTCAAGCTAACAAAGACTCACTTTTGAATTTGCTCTCACATTAATTTCTATTTTCTAACGCAGGGGTTCCCAACCTTTTTCCCCGAGAGCCCCCCCAAATTACTCCTGTTGGAAGTTGCGTCCCCCCCCCCACACACACACAAGGGGGGGGAAACAGACAAGGCAACAGCGGTAATTCAAGTTTAAAAGTCTCAAAATGCTACAACTACTGTCACAAACTGGATGAATGTGAAGTATTTTGTTAAAGGAGGATGAAAGCGTAATTAAGGAGCATTATTGGAGTGACTTTAATGGTTATTGGACTCAGGATTCATTAATTTGGATTCCCGCTGTATGAAGAAATTAAAGGACGGCGCAGAAGTGGAAACAATTCACAAAGGGATTAAACTATTTAAAACACATGCTCAAAGTAAGCCGGATTTTGCCGATGTGTTTATGTGGATTCAAAAGTCGTAAATAATCTACAAAATGGAGGAGACCGATCTGATCGGAGCAACTGTGACAAATAATCCAACTGAAACCGGCATGGACAATGACTATGTTTTAAAAATGTGCTTATCCAGAAAAGCCTGGTTTGGACACTTTACGGGCAGAAGAACATTTCTATTAAAGAAAGAATTATACATTTCTGTCTTTTTATGCCTTTAATAGCTACTAACTTGAATTTTTATTCAAATTAATTAATCAATTATTTTGTATACGTTTATTGTAATGTACACAATCATGTATTGTGTAACAATTATTATTTAAAAAAAAAAAAAAGTCTAAATATGATATTAGGCCTCAAATCATCTGAGGCCTGCGATTTTTGGCGCCCCCCCAGGTTGGGAACCACTGTTCTAACGCATAAGAAAAAAAGGAGGTTAGGATTAGTATGAAACTAGGGTGAGTTAACAATCCAGAAATGCTGTAAGAAAAGATGAAAAGAAGAGGCTTGGTGATCCATGTACAGTATGTGTCTGAATTTGACCTGTATTGCTATAAATGGATAAAACCTAACTTTATTTTGGTAAATTGTTGTCTTGTGATTTCAAAGCAGAGGTCGGTAGTCTGGTTTCCAACGACTATTGAAACCCTCATATACCTTCATATGGTCGGGACCCAGAGTGACACAGTTGATGACGGAGGGAAGGCAGGTGGAACCCCCACCCCCCCCAGCGGCAGGATGTACAGGAGGAGCCTGTGCTGGGGGGGGTGCACCTCCAGAATCCTGCTCAAAAAGCAGGAAGGATGTAAGATAAGAAGGAGGAGGGAAGGAAGGGTGTGAAGGAAGGAGGAGGGATTTGTTAGGATGTTCCTGAAACTGATTTTTGCAAATGATAAATAGTGTTGTTTTTGTATAAACAAAAGCTTGGTGTTTTTTAGAAACCCACAAAGAAAACATCTTGGCTGGAAGTCTTTGCTTTACGTAAAGCACCAAAGCGCTGCCATCACACTTCTGTCTTTTCAGCACTGTTTGGTTCCCATGGATTCCAGCACAGCGTAAGAGTGAACATGCAGAGACCTGAACCTTGTGTAATGTATGACTGAACAATGTTGCATATTGTGTAACAGCAATTACACAAATACCTCACGAAAAGACAACATAGAGGTGAAGAGGAAAATGTGAGATTTACAGCTGTTTTCCAGGTTCTCTTTATTATGTCAACAAATATATTCTTGTACTAACAGTGGCGTGTAGAGCTCAGGTGAAACAGGAGAGGCAAGAGGGGGGTGCTTTATAAAGCAGGAGGAGCTGCAGGAGGAGGAGCTGCAGGAGGACAGGTACAACAAGCTGCAGGAGGACAGGTACAACAAGCTGCAGGAGGACAGGTACAACAAGCTGCAGGAGGACAGGTACAACAAGCTGCAGGAAGCTGCAATTACTATCCCACAGAGTTTACATAGACTCTCTCATTCTCCCTCACACACAGAGCACTGTTTGTATAGACTGATAAGCTGAGAGGGGGGGTGGGGAGGAGGGAGGGAGGGATAACAGCCCAGCTAAGGGAGAGAAAACACACACAAGGGTGAGAAAGCCTCTGCATGCACACACTGAGAAGGACAGAAGAAGAGAAGCAAAAACAGAGAAGAACATATAGCAGAGAGAGAACCGAGGGGGAGGCGAGTGAGAGACAGAGGGAGGAAGAGGAAAAGTGAGGGTCTGCTGGATCATGCCTCTGAGAGGGAAGGTGGCTCTGGTGACCGGGGGAGCTCAGGGCATCGGGAGAGCCGTGGTTCAGTCCCTGCTGCAGAGCTCAGCCAAGGTCAGTGTGTGTCGCCACTTCCCTGACTAACACACAGCTATCACTTTAGAAAGGAGCTGAACTTCTCAAATAACATGTTTTTCGTTTTTAAGAAGTTAGCTCTGCCATATGCTCTGTGCACTTGCAGCTCTGACAGTCACACTCAGACAGCTGTAGGTCTGCTTGATTAATGAGATGTCCACCTCTTCGGAACCTTTTGGAAACATTTTCTCTTTCATGCTTTACTTCACTTTTTCTAGTAATGTTTCATTTTGAATACACCGTAGTCCTGCTTTCAAAGGTCAGCATGTTGAAACAGAGCCAGTGTTAACTTGCCTGAGATGATGAGTCTAGAATAATAGTATATTAGGTTATATATACATTATACACTGCTTTAAATTGTGTTGGAGATGAGCAAGTGGCATTGTGGCCGGAAGTGAAAGCAACACTTTGCATGGCAAAAAGGCTTTTGAAAGAAGTTGATCTGTTTCTGAGAACGTTCTTCACACCCTGCCGGCTGGTGAACATGTCTTCATGTCCTCTAGGCTCACACGTGTCTAACCACAGACCTCACTCAGCAGAGTTTGCAGAAGTGATCCTTCATCAAGCTTCTGCAGAGATGGATTTAAATGTTGAGTCTTACTTCCTCAACCTCTGCTGTTAGTCCGCGTCTGTGAATTCAAAGAAACTCCATCTGACTAACAGTGGTCCTGCAGGTGGCTGTGGTGGACCTGAACAAGACGTGTGGAGAGGAGAGCAAGGCACTGCTGGACGCCGAGTTCGGAGAGGGACACTGCCACTTCATTCCCTGTGATGTGTCCAATGGAGATGCACTGAGAGGTAACACTGTCCACACAGAAGAGACATGACCACTGACAACAATGCCCCTCTCACCCAACCTGCAGAGCTAAACACTCTAACACACAGAAGAGACATGACCACTGACAACAATGCCCCTCACTCACGCAACCTGCAGATATAAACACTCTAACACACAGGAACACATACGAAGGGCTGGGCCCCTCTCTAGAGGTGAGGTATACTGCCTCATAAATTAAGTTATCATTTAGCAAAATCAATGAAATGAAGGTACATTATTCTTGATACTTGAATATGCTTTATGGAAAGAAAAAAAAACAGCCTTCATCACAGCTTTCCAGAGGGTTTCACTTATATCTTGTAACACAAATTGTTGCAGCTCATCCCTTAAAAAGAAGTCTCAGATTGCTTATAATAATGTGAAATATGAAGGGTTGACTTCAAGCTTGTTATGTAAGTTATTGGGCTATTTTTATCAACTAAGATTGACTGAATATATAAAAAAAACGATGCTTATCGATACCGGTACTGCTTATCGGTATCGGTACTCTTATCGATACTTTTCAATAATTTGGTGCTCAAAATTATAGACATGAATACGGGTGATCACCCGGGTATCAAAATCAATTCATCATTTACTAATTCTGATGACATGTTACTAATGATTTATTACTCAATGAGTATTCCTACACTCTGGGACTATTACTTTTACTCAAGTACAAGATCTGAGTACTTCTACTTTTACTCAAGTACAAGACCTGAGTACTTCTACTTTTACTCTAGTACAAGATCTGAGTACTTCTACTTTTACTCAAGTACAAGACCTGAGTACTTCTACTTTTACTCTAGTACAAGATCTGAGTACTTCTACTTTTACTCAAGTACAAGATCTGAGTACTTCTACTTTTACTCAAGTACAAGACCTGAGTACTTCTACTTTTACTCTAGTACAAGATCTGAGTACTTCGACTTTTACTCTAGTACAAGATCTGAGTACTTCTACTTTTACTCAAGTACAATATATATATACTTATACCACCTCTGTTTATAGGAAATGAAAAAAACTATGAAAAAAACTATATGAAATAGAAGGCTAAAGCTAACGTTAGCAGATAGTGACAATGTATGCTAGCTAGCTAGCTCAACGATTCCTTAAATAATATTGCCACAGAAAAACTTTTCAGTTCACATCACGCTCTGCCGCTCCGACAGGGAGCTCTGCTCTGACACCTGA